GAACTCTTCTGCTTTTGAATCTTATTACTTCAAGCAATACCCGTACTTTGTTGGCCAACTAAAGATACTTTGTTAACAAATTCATGCGCCACGTATAATCTCAGGTTCGAAGTTTGGCCTCGTTTCAAACCGCAACGTGAACAGGTATTAAACTTAATACTTAACTGGGTACATAGTATTTTCAATTAAATTAATTCCGTTACATATAACCATTTTCTTAAGGGGAAGCTTTCGGAACCATTAGCTGACTACTCCTGGCATCAGGAGTTGTCAAATCGAGTGATGGGAGTATGACAGGAATTAAATTTCGTAGGAATAAATAATTAAGTTTTTGGTCAGGAGGAAATCGACGAGTATTTGTTTAAGGGATTTTAAGGGAACATGTCGTAGTTGAACCGACTAAAGCGCCCTGTTGCTTTACAACCTACGTCCGAACCTCGGATGAGATTGAGCTGGTCCAAGGAACGGGAGACCTTTTGATGACACATGTATCCCCACCACCACACCACTACGGGACAACGACCACTGCCACGGCCTCTCGGAGGCTCGCAGTCCGTAGGTCGCTTAAAAGACGCCGCCAACTTTATCCTTCAGGTTACCCTGGCGGGTCAGAAACAGCGTAGGTCGGGGAATATAGCCGGTGTGATGAGCTCGATGGGGTTACTCCTGCGAGGCGATTCGGGGAGGTGGAGGACCTTGGCCCTCCTCGTCTCCCTCTTCCTCTCGGGAGGCGCCGGAGTTCGGCATAACCCGGTTCATTACCCCCCTTGAACGGGTATCCCTAGATGGCTTCCCCAGCGATAAAAAAAAAAGGTCGGAAATATAACCACCCATCACTCGGTTGCTCATTCGCAAAAAGCCCTTCTCAAGTCAGGAGCATGTGCACCTCTTTGTCCAAGTCGCATTGATAGTGGTTGTCTTTCAGCTGCGATCCAGTCCCATATCGGGCCACTCATCTCAGCGGTCCACAGGTCGGTCAAAGCATGACCGTGCATCCAGTATGAAGCCGAGAACTCATTTTCAAAGTAAATGCGTACCAAATCGTCGCTGGCTCATGACCCAGTTCCACAAGGAAGGATTAGCATCGTGTAACGAAAAAACTAATAATTTGAATATTTATGTAACCTTTAGAGTTTTATCAAATTTATTGACAGATATACAATTGCTTCCCGCAGAACATGATTAATAATTGTAAATAAACATGCTTTAACGAAAACCGACTTCAAATAGAAAAAAAAAAAAATTCTAAAACAAATTAATATACACTAAAAACAATAATTATCCGAATCGTTGGCGTGATATTGAGTTATTGAGTTATTCATGTATTTGTCGCGCACGTACTTAATGCAAATTTAAGACTTATATGGTTTTCTCATGGATACCATTATCAGAACTGGACTAAATGGGACCACACGGAAAGCGTCACCTTTCTTATTAGAAATGAAGAAAGAAAGAAGAAAGAGAAAAAAGAATCATTCATTTTCTATTAAAAAGAATTATTCATTTCAAATTGATTCATCCAGTCAATAGTTATGAGACAACAAACATTAAAAAAAAAATAGTCGAATTGAGAACCTCTTCTTTTTTTAAAGTCGGTTAAAAAATTGCGCAACATAGAAAATTCAGCGGCGCGCTGGTTCACCAGGGAATATGAGGATCGTAGAGCGCTAATGTTCAGCCAAGCAGGTTTACGAGACGCCAATAAAACAGTGAACATCTAGCCGGATCAATTCCGGATATTAAAAAGCGCGGCTTCAAATAATAAAAGTTTTATTCCATTCAGGTGCTCCGACCTCGCTCTGTGTAACTCTGACGGCGTAATACAATTCTGACGGAGAACGGCAACTCTTTGTATCGTTTTCTTGTTCCAAAGCGTATTGCTTTTAATATTCTATTCTCAATTGCGAAACGGCTGACGTACGCGTTATCCTCGCAGAGGTTTTTAGTGTGTAGACGTAAGATATGTCGATTTTATAGAAACACTAGCTTTTGCCCGTGATTTCGTCCGCGTGGAATAGTTACTTTGGCATAACGCTAAATTTTACCCGCAACTTCATTTACGTAGAAAGTCACCGTGACCTAACGGATAAGACGTCCAGTACATTCGTGTTGAGCGATGCACCGGTGTTCGAATCCCAGGTGGGTACCAATTTTTGTAATGAAATACGTACTCAACAAATGTTCACGATTGATTTCCACGGTGAAGGAATAACATCGTGTATTAAAAATCAAACCCGCAAAAATTATAATTTGCGTAAGTACTGGTGGTAGGACCTCTTATGAGTCCGCACGGGTAGGTACCACCGCCCCGCCTATTTCTGCTGTGAAGCAGTAATGCGTTTCGGTTTGAAGGGTGGGGCAGCCGTTGTAACTATACTTGAGATCTTAGAACTTATATCTCACGGTGGGTGGCGCATTTACATTTGCAAGGGAAGTGGTTAGGTGAGTAGGGCCCTAAAAATTATACTTGAAGCCGCGGTCCGCTAACGACATCTACCGGAGCCCCTCGCTCTAACTGGGCGCGGAAACCACAAGCCAAAAATAATGGGTTGGTGTTATGTTGTTACGCCGGTAAGAGCAACGCCATCTATTGTCAAATAGCGGAAGTACATATCGAAACTACTCGATTTGTCAGGAATGTTCTCGATAATTCTAGAGATGTGTCGACTATAAAAGCGTTGCAGGGATGACACGAAGTTAGTTATTAATCGGACCTAGCGAAACGGCGAACGGATCATCTGAAGCGAAGCGGAAGAAATGAATTGCAAATATGGTAAGTATTCTGTGAGTGTTCTAAGTGTTACTGGTAACTTACCAGCGCCACCAAAATATTCGATAACCGACCGCGCCAGTGTGAATCTGGTGCTCGCTGTATTCAACCTACACTCGGGTGCAATGAAATCGCACATCTGTACATTTTTTGAAAAATATTATTTAATTCTTTTAATTTTAAAAAATACATATATTTTTTAACATAGGGTTAAAGGTTAGTTCAATACCTATTCAATGATACCATATAAGTGGAGATAAGGTTACTTTCTTGAGGAAAATAAAATACAACAACAATTTAATCTTTATTACAAAATGATTACTCAACTAAACCGTTTAAAATTTGGGGATTAATAAAAAAAAAAAAAAACACAAAAAATACTGAAAAATCATTTATTAGTAACAAGTATTGCCCTCTCTTGCCCGAATTACAGCTTCACACCGATTCCCCATCGACTCTATCAAGTTTCTGATAAAGTCTTGTGGCATGGCGTCCCATTCCTCTTTGAGCGCATTTTGTAGCTCCTAGAGATTAGCTGGAGCACTATTTCGACCTCTAATTTTTCTTTTTAATTCGTCCCACAAGTGTTCAATCGGATTAAGGTCCGGGCTCCGAGCTGGCCACTCCATCACGGGTACATTTACTTCTTGTAAGTATTGTCTCACTATCGCAGCGGTATGAGGTCTTGCATTGTCATGCATAAAAAGGAAGTTACTACCAATTAAACGGCCAAATGGTACGACATGTTCTTGTAGAACTTCCTCTATGTATCGTTGAGATGTTAGACCTCTTGTTTATCGCCTAATATTGGCCCCAACGATGAAGACAAGCTTTGTTTTTCGTTAGAGTGAGATACCTCCCCAGAACATACACGAACCACCGCCGTATGCTACACGTTCTGTGATGCAACATTGGGAAAATCGCTCTGAGCGCCTTCTGTAGACCCTTCCACGTCCATCATTATCATGAAGACACATTCTGGACTCGTCTGAGAACAGGACTGCTTTCCACTGGTCGGCTGTCCAGTTGACGTGTTCTTGTGCAAATCGAAAACGAGCCCGGCGGTGAGCTGGCGTCAATTTAGGGCCATTTGCTGGCCTATGCGCAGTCAAACCACCTTCGGCAAGTCTCCTTCTGACTGTCCACCTGCTGACTACCACTTCACGCACCTGTTGAAGCTGCTGTGCAAGTTCAACGGCAGTCAAACGACGATTTCGCAACGCTGTCGTTACAAGAAATCTGTTGTCGCGCTGTGTTGTAGCTCTTGCTCGACCAGATCCTCGTCGCCTTTCAAAGCCACCAGTCTCCCGATAGCGTTGGTACACACGACGAACTGAATATCGGCTGATATTCAGTTGTCGAGCTACAGCACTCTGGTTCTGGCCTGCTTCAATTAGAGCGACGACTTGAGCGGCTTTTTCCGGAGTAGTATCCATCTTTTTCAGACAAATGCAATTGGAGTCACTAGAGGCCTTATCAGGTTAAGCGTTAGCTTGCAACTGATGACGTTTTACACAAAACATGCCTTTTTATACCTGCAGTTAGTCTTGCAAACTGCAGTGAGTTGAGGGAGCAATTTTTGGAGTTTGCTGTTGTCGTTTTGTTTCAGCAGGCAGGTAAACTTATCATGTCTTATGTGGTATCATTGAATAGGTATTGAACTATCCTTTAACCTTATGATAAAAAATATATATATTTTTTTAAATAAAAAGAAGTAAATAATATTTTTCAAAAAATGTACAGATGTGCGATTTCATTGCATCCGAGTGTAGTTTATTATTATTATTTATATGGGGATGTTTGCGCAGTGTGCAGTACCGCGTGTCACAAGAAACATGATGCGAGTCCCCAGCGCGGTGGGGGGCGCAGCCCACGGGCGCGGTGTCTGAGTGCGGCACTGGGCGGAACTCGGCGGACCGAGCATTCGTCCAGACATCTTTACTATTGTGTATCTATACTAATATATAAATCTACGGTGGTTTTTCACGGATGTTCCGTTATAACTACTGAACCATGCATCCGATTGACTTGAAACTTGGTATCCATATAGAAAATACACGTACTTAATGGATAGGCTAATATTTATATGTGCGTTGGACTCCCTAATAATAATGACAATAAATAATAATGTTATTTTAAATGCCCAGCGAAGCGGGCGAGTACGGCTAGTAGGTAATATATCTCCAACGGAACACATTAACGTAATGAATGAAACTAAAATTGAGATAGGTACACATATTTAATTTTAATAACAAAATAAAAACTAGACATCGACTTAATAATAATTTATAATTTTACTGAGATTATGAGTCGCCGCACAGATAACATATCTGCGAAGTACAGCAGCTTTGACTAATTTAAAAATTCTTTAAAAATTATTGAAATTGGAATGTGGCTTAAAATTAAGTTCATTAGTAGTAGTTCTTATCCCGGGCGCCTCGTCCCCGCGGGAAAGGTACGTTTGTCCCGGGGCGAGGTAAGGTTAGCTGGGGTAACGTTAATAATTTTTGTAACTAAAATAAACTTTGAGTGGCCGTAACTAGTGATAAAATTACCTTAAGATATGAATGAATTAAATCTAGTTATATGGTTGTATATCGGCGCGTACGTATGGCGGCTAGCGTCGCGCGGCGGTGCGCTGCACGGAGGACATGCCGTCCACGAAGCGGGTGCGGAACAGAACGTTGGCGTTGTTGAACATGCCGTCCTTCAGCGACACGATGATGAACTGCGGACAACCACTCGTACAATACCACGCACCGGCCCTGCGCATGGGGCGCCCCTCGCCCTTTGCTTTCGGGCGCAACTTGCCAATTTAACAAAATAAAATCTAAACTAAAATATGACCACGCTACATTTATAAACATTAACTATCCTCTTACACTCATAAGCTAGACCGCACGAGAGAGAGATGGGTAGACTTTTCATGTTGCGCATGCAGTGTGACGTCACGCCACGCGCTTATTCACAAACACTACACAAGCGCAACGTGTGAATGTGTTGAACGCGAGCTACATGGTAGGCGGAGTGGGGGTGTTAGGTTTTATTTTCGTTACGGAATTTCTTGATTCTGAATTTTTCACCGAGCTTGGATTCTTAACTGTTCGCCTCCCGTTCGTCGCTGACAACCTATTAAGGAACCCTACTGCAGCAAAGGTCGAGAGCCAGGAGGGAGAAGAGGTCGTCAAATGAGTCATATTGTTATTGTATAGTCGGATTCGCGCCGTGTTTACCAGTCTTCCCCGCACAGCTAAAATATTCCTACCGCCTCTACATCACATTGCATAATTTGAACTTTTGGGTGGGTTGAATCTCGTACGTAAGGTTTTCGCGCTAAGAGGGCGCGAGGGTGAATGTAGATCTTGACGGTCCGCAGGTGTGGAGAGCGGACCGAGAGCTTAAGGATGTTTTAAGGCTCTACCCACGAAACGATTCCCCTTGACGGGAGGACGGACCATTTCTAGTGTTCCGCGTCGGACCCTTTGCATATAACAACACGTATGCTGTACGGTCTAGTATAGTGGTGGTGAGGTCCGGGGGCACGCACCTGCGAGTGTCGGAAGTGTTCCTTGAGCATGATGCCGATGTTCTGCGTGTGCGACAGGTCCAGCGCCGCGTCCACCTCGTCCAGGATGTACAGCGGCGCCGGCTTGAACAGCAGCATCGCCAGCACCAGCGCCAGCGCCACCAGCGAGCGCTGCCCGCCCGACAGTTCGCCCAGGGACTCCTTCCACGTCATGTTGAACCCCACCTTCACCTGCCGGAACGCGAGCGGGGCCTCAGTGTCGCCGGGAGCAGCGTGCACGGTGCACAGGGGCGGCGCTCACCTCGAGCCCGTCCAGCACGGAGAGTCCGTCGGGCGGCTGCAGCTTGGCCTGCGCGCCGGGCAGCAGGGTGCTGAAGATGGACCCGAAGTCCCGGTTGACTTGCTCGCAGGCCGTCACTAACGTCTTCTTCTTCTTCTCGTCCAGCTCCGCCATGACCTGCACCAACTTGGCTCTGTCCGCCTCCACGATCTGCTTCTTCCTCATGACGTCTTGGTACTGCAAGCGGAGGGCGGCGGGTGAGCGGGTGGTGTGCGGGGTGGTGTGCGGGGTGGTGTGGTGGTGGTGCGAGGGTCGGCAGGCACCTGGTCCTCCTCCTTGCCGAGCAGCGTGTGCGCCCTGGCGTTGAGTCCTCGCGCGAGGCGGTCCCTGCGCTCGGCGAGCTGGTGCAGGCGGCTGGCGGCCACGTGCGCCTGCCGACCCTCGAAGTCGTAGAGGCCGCCCGGCGCGCCGAAGTACTGCCGCTCCGACGGGATCCACGGGTTCTCCGACTCCAGTTGCCTAATCTGAAGGGTGGATATTCAAGTTACGTCGCAATAAAAATAGTCACGATATGTTGCCCGCTGCCCTTTTTTTCCTACCAAGCTGATAGCCTTGAGAGGCTATTTCAACGGAAACTTAACTAGTAGGTGAGCTCACGGGGCTCAAACCTGACGACGTTGCTAACACGAACCTTAGTAAGAGCCGTGCTTCGCAGAATCTACCACCGGATCGGAAACGCGACCCACTGAGAAGATCCGGCGAGAAACTCAGTGGGTTAATTTACTTGTCGAGCCCTTCATCGCAAGCGACGGGTTCGACGAGAACGATGACCGGCCCGCTGCCCTTGTTGGATGTAGTTAAAAGTATTATTTATATTCTCGACGCGAACAATGATTCAATAATTTATGTTTAATTATTACCTCTTTTTCGAATTAATATGTCTTTAACGCAAACTAAAAGCAATGACTGTAGTTTAACGAACACGGCCCCGTTCGAACGGGATACCTTCTTCTGACAATCGAGAGCCTCAGTCTGCAGCTCCTTGATGCGGTAGTCCAGCTCCTTGACGCCGAGCTCCAGCTCGCTGCTGCTCTTGGCCAGGCGCTCCTTCTGCTGCACGAGGCGGGATATGTCGGTGCTCCGGCCCGCGATCTCCGTTTTCTGATGTTTTATTCGCGCCTGCATCTCCTTCACTGCTTCCTAATAAACGCAGGAGAATTAAATTTCAGCTTATGCACGTTAAGTAAGATTTCAAAACCCATTTTACGGTCCTAGCCACAGTTGTTTTCGAGCCGAATCTGTCGTGAGACGGAACTCGGGCCAGAAGGGCGCACCCCTTTATCGTCGCCGTGGCCTAATGAATAAGACGTTCGGTGCATTCATAGATAGCGATGCAACGGTGTTCAAATCCCGCAGGCGGGTACCAATTTTTTTAATGAAATACGTACCGTACAATGGGGTAAATAGGGACAAAATCGACCTTCAGATTGGATTTTAAAATAGTTCCAATTAAATAGTCACTGCTCAACCAAAGAAATAAGTTGAGTCTTGGACATACCTAGGTGATAAAAACCGTTACATTATTTTAATTATTCATTTTAAAGAAATAATCGGTAAAATAATGGCCGTCCCTATTTACCCAGCGTCCGGGGTAAATTGACACGGTTAAGGGTTAAATTGGGATATTTGTAAGGGTTGTCAACTCGCAGTACTACGATATATAGGTAGATGCCATATAATTATTTATATGGACCGAAATGATGAATACAATCCATAATTTAAGCAACATAGTGTAAATTAAGCTGGTTTCTATTCCGAAGCGATGTGACGTGAATGATAATCAACAATACAATGATCAAAAAAAGTATGTGCATGTTATATTTTAGAAAATTATTATTTAATTTCCTTAAAAATCACAACTCTGAAACAAGATCATAAAATAGAATAAAAAATAGAAAACAAAAGGACTGGAAATGCATTAATACAATTTTATTTAATGAACATTTTCAAAATGATCTTTGAGCAAGAGTAAGATATCAGGTGAATAAGATAAAAAAACAGCTTTATCTGATTACTGCCAATAATAACAAAAATAAAAGAAATTCTTTCTAAGCTAAATTAACTAAACTCAATTAATTCACTCACTCTTAATTGGATATCTCGGATTTTTAATTAATGTTACATTTAAAATCTGAGGCCTGTTTTTATTTGTGTGTGTTCGTTGTAAATGTTAACAAAATCATGATTCGACGCGTGAATAGATTCTGAAATAACAAAAGTTTTGATTCGTTTGAGTTCTTTTAACTTTTAATTTTTTTTATTGCTATAAAGAACATACGACCGGGCAGATATTACAAGGTAAATGTCGCGAAAAAAAGTAATTATATATATACACTTTTCTTTTACCTATAATACTTACATAAACTAACTGATAAACACATTAACCTTCTTTACATCACGCAATTAAGTGATAGTATAGGCTAAAAAATCTATTATAAGATATCAGTGACAACCCTAACAAGCCATCCCTATTTTGTCTTTTGGCGTTCCAAGTTTGTGTTTTCTCGTCCCTAATTTTTCCAGTCTCGTTCCAAATTACCCAAAATACGTCCCAATTTTCCCCAAAAAGAAAGGAAAAAATATACATTTTTTATTTTGTCGAAATATTGTATTTAAAATAAGAATATTGCAACTTACCGTTTGTTGTGGTATTTCCAGGTGTATTAAAAACTTATATAAACTGTGATCTTATTGAAAAAACAACGATAATATTACTTTTTTTAAAAGTTCTTTAAGCTGTTTTAAAACNGGAAAAAATATACATTTTTTATTTTGTCGAAATATTGTATTTAAAATAAGAATATTGCAACTTACCGTTTGTTGTGGTATTTCCAGGTGTATTAAAAACTTATATAAACTGTGATCTTATTGAAAAAACAACGATAATATTACTTTTTTTAAAAGTTCTTTAAGCTGTTTTAAAACGCACTTTTCAACCACTATTTTAAATTTTATTTGACGAATTTTTGGGACCAACTAAACTCATGTTTAATACTTCCATAGTTAACTTGGTTTTTCTTCTATACATTGATAAATATTACCTTAAAGAAAATTAGGTAGATTCCGTGCTACAAGTACTTTGAGAATCTTCCGCAGGTTTGTCCCAATTTACCCCAGAATCCCAATTTACCCCATGTCATGGTACTTAACAATTGTTCACAATTGACTCCGACGGTGAAGGAAAAATATCGTGTAATAAAAATCAAACCCGCAAAATTATAACTTGCGTAATTATTGGTAGTAAGACCTTTTGTGAGTCCGCACGGGTAGGTACCACCGCCCTGCTTATTTCTGCCGTGAAGCAGTAATGCGTTTCGGTTTGAAGGGTGAGGCAATGATTGTAACTATACTGAGACCTTAGAACTTATATCTCAAGGTGTATGGCACATTTACGTTGTAGATGTCTATGGGCTCCAGTAACAGCAGGTGGGCTGTGAGCTCGTCCACACATATAGACAATACAAAACCTGCGCGTGGTCCCGGCTGCGCGCGGCGTCGTGCAGTGCGCGTGCCAGGTCGGCAGCGGCGCGCGCGTGGTCGTGCAGCTGGTGTCGTGCGGCCGCGGCGCCGCGCTGCAGCTCCGCCGCCTCCAGCCGCAGGGTCTCCAGCTCCTGCTCGCGCAGCTTCCACGCGCCGCCGTGCACCTCCACGTCTCGCTTTGCTTTCTTCAATGCCTCTTCTGCTTTCTTATATTCTCTGTTCATTAAAAAAAGTTGTATCAATCGTTGATTACTTGTGATGTCCCCTGCCTATCCCTGCCATGAAACGTTCTAGTTTGTAGGTCGACACGGCGGCTGTACATACAGTTAAGACGCAGTCCCCACGTCACGGGTGGTGGCGACATTCACGTGGTGATATCTGAAGGTTGCTCAACGCCCGACTCGTGAGCTCGTCCCAAGCAACAGGAGCCGTAAGGTGTCCCGGCACCGCGGCCACTACTCCTGGACGCGCAGTTCGTTCAATGGTCAACTTTAAATCGGATTCTCTCTAAACTTACAAATGTGGTTAAAACCTGTTAAAAAAATTGCAGGAAAGACTAGTGTGTCGTCTTCGCGGCAAATTTTTAATCGGACACTTTACAACACCAACCGATCTCAACGTTCGGATCCATCAAATGACAACGAAGCTACATCGCATGCACACACACATTGAATACAAACGGGAGTCGAGCAACACGCAACCGAATCTAGAATATTTAAACATAACTGAATTCGACGACCGCGGGTGAAGTTAACATTATGTTAAATTAACAAAGGCCTAGTGATTCTAGAACAGTGCACGCGTCCAGGAACTCCGTGTGACAGTCCCAGGTGCGTATGTGCATTTACCCAATTTGTTGAATCCTAGACGTACATCGGATACCTAGGATACCTTGCTGGGCAAGTTCCGTATCCATCCTCGATCAGGGATCGATTAGTTTATCCAGACCCAGTGTGTGTGTCGCGACGATAACCGGCTTAAACAAACTACCGAGCCGGGAATTAAAGTCTCACATACAACTAGTTCGTACCTCTCTCGGTGTCCCTTGATGTCCTTAAGCTTGGCCTCCAGGTCGCGGGCCCTGCCGGCCGCTTCGTCCTGCACGAGCTCGTCCTGCTCCAGCGCCGCCGCGAGCTGGGCCGCCTGCCGGGGACACTCCCAATATTTCATTTCAGTATAAAATTATGATTTTTCCACCTGAAGTGAAGGTCTACAGACTAAGATACGGATCCATATGTAGTTTTTGTTTTTATCTTGAAATACTTAAGTACAAATTTATTTTTGAAAAATGAACATAGAAACGCTTAATAAGATAAATAAATAAAAGTAAGCGCGGTGTCCCAATATTATTCTATTCTTTATCTGTGCGTCGGAATAAATTAATTTAACAAGAACATTCGACACATTTTGAAATTGATTACAAAAAATGCGAAACGAATTACAAAGCGTCGTTAGCGGCGTGTCGTACCTGCGCGCGCAGAGCCTGGATCTCGGCGTGCAGCTGCGCGCGCGCCGTGCCGCCCAGCCGCGCCGCCGCCGCGCGCGCGCCCAGCCGCGCCGCCTCGCACCTGCGCACCCGCACCCGCCATCAGTACTCTACTGCACTCGCTAGCTCACATGACAGAATGTACGCGCGAGAGTCTGCCATCAACATTGATTGAGAATGGACGTGGAGGAAGCAATTTGCTTATTGAAAGACGATACTGGGTGTATCCTATTTTAATTGAAAGACTTTCTTCAAGCCTTTTTGTAACTTTATATCCCGACCTGAGACTACACGAATAAAGTTTTTTAACTACCTAGTTTAGGATGTCAGTTGCATCTTTTCATTTTTTATATGATTGCGTTGAAAACTATTTAAAATCTATAGACACGATATCGTCTTCGCTAGGTACTCATTTTTCTTTGATCTATGCGTCTGTCCGTTTTAAACCGCGCGGATCAGCTGAACAGGTAGATACCGTTTTGCAGAACTTGTACCGCGCGCGCCACGTGCGGTACAAGAAACTGCGCACAAGTCGTAGGGTACCGCGCGGTACCGCGCTGTTATGTGATCAATAAATACTGCTTAGATTGATCTTGTACCGCGCGGTGAGCGGTTCCGCGCGATACCGCGCGCTCATGTGAACTTAGCCTAACTCTGAGTCTCAGGCGGAGCCCCGTGAGACCGGACAAACCCTTTGAAGTCACATAGACAAAAAAAACAAAATGTGTGCAATTCACATAAGATAGAAGTGAAACCTTCCAAAATTAAAATACAATTATCCTAAACGTCTTAAGTATATGTAAAATTTTGTCATTAGTAAATAATTGTAAGGTAGCGCCCTCTGTGAATTGATATTTTAATTTCACATACGTGAAAATCCTATCCTAAATTAAAATTCACTACAAGAGCTTTCATACACACGTTAGTATTAAAAAATCTCACAGATGGCGCTGTATTAAATAGTATGTATATTTCTGTCTCATTCTTTTGTATTTGTGTCTCTTACCTGTCGTTTTTTCCGTTGCATCCGGTTTGAAATCACAACGATTCTAAAGAAGTTTTCACTTCAAAAAACTACTACATAATAAGTAACGTAATAAAACAAACTTTACAATTTGGGAGCCATTTGTTGAGTGAACATACTTTTGTTGTATAGCGGCGTAGCTCTCGGCAGCCTGCTGCGCGCAGCCCAGCTCCTCCGTGAGCTGCGCCAGCCGCGCCTCGGCCGCCTGCACCTGCTGCTCCAGCTGCTTCAGCTCCTGCAGCTGCAGCAGCACCGACCCGCCCTACAGAACAATCGCCACTGTACTAATATTGAAAACATACTAAAATACAAAAATATAAACAAGATATATGTCGTGCCGAAGCGTGACGCGCGGCGGCGCGGGTGTAGTGCGTGCGCGTGACGTGTGCGAGCCCACCTTGAGCGCGGCGCCGGAGAGCGTGCCGGCGCGGGTGTAGTGCGTGCGCGTGACGTGTGCGAGCCCACCTTGAGCGCGGCGCCGGAGAGCGTGCCGGCGCGGGTGTAGTGCGTGCGCGTGACGTGTGCGAGCCCACCTTGAGCGCGGCGCCGCCGGAGAGCGTGCCNTTAGGGACCCCGGTAACCGTACTCGTCGAACTCGACAAAGAGTTCGCCGTGCAACCTAACCCATGAATCAGCTCGCTGAGTTTCTCGCCGGATCTTCTCAGCGGGTCGCGATTCCGATCCGGTAGTAGATTCATTCGCGAAGCAGCTGCTCTTGAGCTGTTAGGTCTCCTTCGGAGGCGCTCGGGTAGCTGTTAGCAAAATCCCACCCCTCCTGGCTGAGCCTTTGCTCGCCCACCTGTCCTGGTGAAACTGGAAAGGCCTCCGGGCCACCAGTAATCCTACAATCAAAAAAAAAAAAAGCGTATTAAAAAGCATCTGCAGGTAAGCCACAACAAGTTCGTCATCATTGTCACGAACCATTCGGTTCTGGAATTAACTCCACGGTGTTTCCTAAACGTTAATCTACAACAAAAATGAAATTTACAAAAAAACTTTGGTATGCGCCAGAATTTATTGCCGATTATAAGAACTTACCACCAGATGGGTTGTATGCTCTTTTTTATATGAATAGGTAAACGAACCACGGCTCAAGATGTGCAATAAAAATCATAGTTAAAGTACTTTTATACTGAGTTAGCATCTAATATTAGACACGCTTATAAAATACAACTTATGATAGATAGATTCAGTCATGTTTATTATTTTACTAGCGACCCGCCCTCGCTTCGCTTCGGAAACATTAAAACACAAAAACAAAAAATAAAAAATAAAAATAAAATAAAAAAAGTAGCCTATGTTCATCAGGGACAATGTCGGCTTCTAATGGAAAAAGAATTTTTCAAATCGGTCCAGTAGTTTCGGAGCCTATTCGAAACAAACAAACAAACAAATCTTTCCTCTTTATAATATTAGTATAGAAGTATAGATATAGATTAGTATAGATTATTATTATTATTATTTTATAATCCACCCGGCTTAATAATATTCTTGTTCCTAGTCAGTGTTGCTCTTGACAGAGTGGTCGTGGTCATCACTTCAGGTGTTGGTGGCAAGCTTCACAACATGCCGCCATTTCTCTCTGGCGGCCGCCCTCATCGGGCATTCAGCAGAAATAACAGCAGAAATGGAGTTACCTCCTTTATTGCAAAGAATCTAAGGAATATTGTAATGGAGTACGAACGTGTTAGCGACAGGATAGTACGAATATTAAAAAGGACTTAATTAACAACCACCACATTAGATTAATGTTTAATGTTTTCAACAGAAAATGGCATTTCTGCTCTGCAACTGTCGGGCAGAGAAGAAAGTGGTTTCTCAACAAAAGTTACCTGACCTCAATAGTTTCCTGACCTTTAGATTGATTTCGTTCACAGCGTCTACGTCTTGTCTAATATACTTGATGTCATATAGGTGTCATTAGAGGATAGGTTTGAGGGGATAGTTCGAAGTCACCTTTATAAGTAAGCACTATTCAATTCACGATTCGTATTTGGTAAGTTTCACGCTGACACGCTTCTTAGCTATTACTCTTTAAGAATTATTTATAATTAGTGAAGACTCAAAGAATGAGTCGTCTATCGAATAATATACTAGCATGAGTGTGATGTCAACACTATTTTGTATTACAAGACAAGCCGTGAAACGTATTAAAAAAATCTGTTTACCATCATTCATTTTTGTCAAGTGATACGACGCGGCCATCAAATTTTAGGAGTTTAGGCCGTCCCTTTTTTTTCAACAATATGGTATCGCTGCACCGCTTTCGGTGGCGTCTGTGCTTGTCTGCGTGTGACTCACATATCGTTGATTGGTCCATCCGGCTCTCTCTGTGAGATATCTCGATTCTAACAAGCCATATGTTTTATGTTGTTTTTTTTTTATCTTATTGTTTTATGACTTTACTCTCAGCTGTCATTTGTAGCAACTGTATTATCTAACGTTCAAACGTAGCGACTTTAAAATTTAGGTCACTTAATTTGTTTAATTAAATTATTTAAATCATAGCAAAGAATTTAGATTATTGGATCTATTTAAAGCGGCGGCTTACGTTCCCGGTATAGCTGATGTCCATGAGCCACGCTGACTACTTACCATCAGGTGCAAATTATGCTAGGTAGCTTACGGTGGCATTTCTTTAGCATGTGATGTCTTTGGTATCGCTAGAATTCTTGCCCGGTTCAGACAGCCCTTTATTTTCTTTAGGTCTACTTTTGACAGGAATGAAATTCTAGATGCGTAACGTGGGCTTATAACGTGTCACTGTTAACTTGTTACCATAATATTGGCATTGATAATCGCATCGGTCATTGTTTGTCAAACTTGCAATCTGATTAAAAAAAAGCAATATTATGTAAATCTTGGAATATTTCGTAACATTTTTACTTCATTCAATTCAAAATTGTTCGTGACACTGAATTCTAACCATGCATTTTTGTGAGTATTGCATATATTTTTTTGTAATTGTAAAGATTTGGAAACTTACATTTCTATAACCACTCCAGCTAGTGGTTGCGTGTAAAACTATTTCTACTCAATGTTTTAACAGATGAAATATAATTAAATATTACTGGAATTTTGCCCCGGGTTCTATAATATTTTGCTATTCGCTAGTTTCTATTAATCTATCAAGCTTTAATATGCACAAGATATTGATTTCGACCTTTCAGAAGTCGCCGTCGGTATTGACGTAGTAGTATAAAGTATTATGCAAATAACTAACATATTTAACAACAAATTCATTGCTTGGCACTTTGCAATTATGTCGCAGGGCACACAAAGCAACGGTTTTCGTAGTCCGGATGAACAATCAAGGTACAATTGTTTATTAAAAAAAAGGTGCGTGTACGCGCGTAAGAAGTTAAACTTAATTTTTTTTTTAATTTATTTCTTTTTTTTTTATTAAAATTTTAATCAATTTGAAAAAAAATTGATTTAACAACATTCTCAAACACGCATTTTGGACATCCCTTTTCTTGACATCGTATAAATTCGGTAATTCTCGGTACGGTTCGGAAAGTTCACCTGCGTCTATATTCAGACTCGCCAAGTTACGTCGGTCGTATTGTAATGAGCGATTTAGTGGGCAACTTCATTCTGTTAATTTTGTGTCGCGGTACGCGCGCATCGTAAAATTTCACTTTCATTAATTTTTCATAACGCGCCTAAAGAAGTAGAACTTCAAAAACATGCTCATACAAAAAACTAACACCAAATTTGTGACTTTAGAAACTCATACTTACGTTCACGTGTTTGATTATTTGAGGCGGTAAGATGTTGACCGGCTATTGCATAAAATCGATAGCTCCAAGAGTTATCCGGTTTTCCATACCTTTAACTTTTCTCTTGTTGGAGTAGGTGGTTTAGACGTGCTCACCGCCCACCTAATAACGAATAACAGGTACCCTACAGAATCATAGAGTTGAAACACAAAAGTGTTTCGTAGAGTGTATACACATAGTAGGTACCTAAGTTCTGAACTATTGGCGATGGACATTTTACAAACAATAAACAAAAAAAAGCGTAAACTATTTTCATAACAACTTTGGGATTGTATTTATTTATAGGTCAGGTTATTTAACTAGGATTCATTTAAATAACGCCATGTAAACAAACAAACAAACTGAATTCCGAATGTAATCAATTAACAAAGTTCCATTTTAGGTTCAGTTAGAGGTGCCGTTATTGCGATCCTAAACAAATAAAACTTCAAGGTGCCTCCCTGTGTCTATGTGTAGGCCAGTGTAGGGCATAGGTACTTTGAAATTTGCTTTCTAACGAGGGTCTTATCTGTATCTCGCAGTTTCAAGGAAGCGATAAATTTTAAATGCAAGCAAGTGATTACTTCTTATCGCGCCAGGAAATGTTATCAGAGGACAGTTACTTGGTCAGTTTCCTTGTCAGTTGTCAGCGTTTCGACGTCCTAACTTACGACGATAGATCAAGATGTAATTTTACGAGTACAGTTCCGTTCGTCACTCAACTAATTATTATATTAGAATATTCTTACACATTTGCGTTGGATTCGAATTATTAGTTTTATTAGTGTGTTATAAGACTTTTTTTTCAAATGAAATGATGCGCTTGTTTAATTAATTAAGCACGGTGTAGCACGGTCAAAGAATATACTTAAAATACTTGATGTAAATAGCTATAAAACGTTATATCTTTAGAATTGAGTCAGCGTTAAGATCGATCAAAATAGACAAATACTGTTTAAGCTTAGAAAAGTATTTATTATTGACAGGCTTAACGTTCAGATTTTTTTTTTATTATTTATTATAAACTAGCTGATCCGGCAGATTTCGTAGTGCCTCAATCTATAAATCAAAAATAATCCATCCGAAGGGGGACACATCAATGGAAAAACAAAATTGTTTGTTTTTATATAATTCCGAGCATTTTCATATTTTTTCACCTTTTAAACCTTCTCTGGACTTCCACGAATAATTCAAGACCAAAATTAGCCAAATCGGTCCAGCCGTTCTCGAGTTTTAGCGAGACTAACGAACAGCAATTCATTTTTATATATAGAGATAAATAATAAAAACTAAACTCAAAAGTATAGTATGATGAACGTATATAAAAGATTGTGCAAGATAAGTATTTAATTTTCTTTGTTAGGACCTAATCTATTTAAAATCGATAATTATAATTGATGACGTAACAGCCTACTTGTTTTCAGTGTGTNCCGTTCTCGAGTTTTAGCGAGACTAACGAACAGCAATTCATTTTTATATATAGAGATAAATAATAAAAACTAAACTCAAAAGTATAGTATGATGAACGTATATAAAAGATTGTGCAAGATAAGTATTTAATTTTCTTTGTTAGGACCTAATCTATTTAAAATCGATAATTATAATTGATGACGTAACAGCCTACTTGTTTTCAGTGTGTATTATCCGTACTTTTATGACCCTTATCTTATCTAAAGAAATATTGCAGTTTGTTAAACCAAGGAAACCGGTATATTGTTCACGGCTTATTGCTAAACTTGATCCTAAGCCACGATAATTCTAGCAGGCAAGTGTGTATCAATTTTATCCTGGAGCGAGGACGAGTGCGTCGGCGCACGCAGTCGCATGATGCACGACAAGAATAATAAAACCCGGCCACTTCCTGCCGCACGATAAGCGCTTCATACATACATCCATACATACATCCATACATGCATACATACATACATAGAGATACACGTCACACAATACATTACACACACATACATACCTCTTGTCAATTCTACATAACGTTATGCTTAGAATATTCTATAACTTTATGACTTTAATATCATATTATGTACAAGTAGGTATCTAATGATAAGTAATGACTTACGTAGTAGATAAATTTCGAACTGTTAATGTATTATTCGTTTTGCTTGTCAATAATTTTTTTATATTTTCTGGACGGCATCCACGTGTCCTACAGAATTTATTGTCACTGGGTTTAAAAAAAAGGACGTTCCTAAAAAGCTGAATTTATTCAAAGTTCTTTTTTTTTTTCAAAGACAAATAGGCCAAGGCTTTTGAGTAGCGTAAATCCATCATCTAAATAAAAATATACCTATGCTACCTATAATATTCTGATATTTAAATAACATGTAATGTATACGTCCAAATTTGTGGAAATAGATTAGATAACAGAGTACGTATATATTATGATTCATTTCCGAAGGCCATGGTGCCATTTTGTATCCGTTTGATATAAATTAATCGTAACATCCTTAATATTTAACATCGAAAGAAAGTTGTCTGTCCTTTCCGTTTATTAGTTCGTTTAGTAATACATGAGACCATTTACTGAGCTCGATACCGTTTTACAGCCATTAAAGTTGACTCATTGATTGTTAATGCACCGAATAGTAAATTACTCTGTTCTTAGAAATGACAATGACTTAAATACCCATGAATTCTTGTTCCACTACCTGATGTCTTTGTCATGTTGTGACTTTGTTTTTTTTGTGTTGAAAAACATGTCCTGTACACACGTAGTCATTACTGAGTTTTATCAAAACTAGTAATCAATCAAACAGCACCAATCACTTATCAGTACTTGTGATGAAATTTTGGTACCGTGTAAGTTTGTCACATTACAGAATTAAAATAACCTATTTGTAGGTACCTAAACAAAGAGAAAAACTGGTGGTAGGACCTCTTGTGAGTCCGTGCGGATAGGTACCGCCACCCTGCCTATTTCTGCCGTGAAGCAGTAATGCGTTTTGATTTGAAGGGTGGGGCAGCCGTTGTAACTATACTTGAGACCTTAGAACTTATATCTCAAGGTGGGTGGCGTATTAACGTCGTAGATGTCTATGGGCTCCAGTAACCACTTAACAGCAGGTAGGCTGTGAGCTCGTCCATCCATCTAAGCAATAAAAAAAGAAAATTAAAAAAAGAATAAAAAAAACAAAAACTAGTGTATTAAACTTAACATCAAACTTACTTCACTCTCATCATTATTAGTACATATGTACATCATAACTACATTAGTTTCAACAAAGAAAGACAGCGACTTATACAATACAATTACGACTTTGAGCGCATGTCATAAGGTTCATTCAAATCGTTATTTCTATGAGCTCTAGTAACCATTTAACAATAAGCGGGTCTTGAGTTTGTACACCCATATAGAGCAAATAGAATATAAAAGTGTAGTAAGCCGATGACATGAGCTATTTTATCGAGCTATCGACAGTTTAGTGGTAGTGGATACTATTTACTTTTTTACTTAGCTTTTAAAAGTGCAGTTAATAGTGTAAATAAGTAATGCCTATACCACAGGCCTATACAGTAAAGTATTGCCTATGATAACAACAATTTATTGTTGAGGACCTGTTAAGTTAATTAACTATACTGAAATTACATACCCGATCCTGTGGACCGAATGGTAAACAGTCGATGTGGCCCTTAACACGTCATTACGGATCCTCCCGATCCATTAACAGTGCTTTTAGGTACCTCAAGCACCGGTCACCGCCCTCGCCAAACTCGTCGCTTGCGATGAAGGGCTCGACGAGTAAATTAACCCATAGAAGCCCACTGAGTTTCTCGCCGGTACTTTTCAGTGGGTCGCGTTTCCGATCCGGTAGTAGATTCTGCTCTTGCTAGGACCAGTGTTAGCACCACTTCCGGTTTGAACTCCGTGAGCTCACCTACACGCTAGGGTAAAGCTGAAATAGCTTCTCAAGGCTATCAGCAAAGGTAGGCAAAAAAAGGGATTCACCGGAGATCCGGCAGCAGCGTTCGCCGTATATTTGTTGTGTCACGAATTATAAGTATCTTCTTAAGTTCTTACTATATACTATTAATTAGTTATAAGATTACTTTTCCTTTCAATTTTCTTCCCACCACGAATTCACAGTTAACTGCGATAGGCGTGTAATTGACAGGGGCGCCCACGGTAAGTACCTACATCTGCGTGTCCGGCATTCGGACAGATGATTCCCCATCTGTCTTCAAATAAATGTGACTAGCAGCCGTAAAACGGATATATCATTTATTAAACCAGTGTCGGACTATGACCTCACAGAATTCGGAGGTAATAGACAGTAGGCGTCACGATCTATGAATGAATTGATAGTTAGTGTTTGAACTAGACCTCTTTTATAGTTTATTTTGTTACTAATTTAATTAAGAACAAAATTCAAATGTAAATACGAAAAAAAACGGTAAAGTATCAATCTATGTGGGACCTTAGAAACTAGGTCGTCATGTGTGTTTACAAACATTCAATTCCAATTGTGAGTAATTAAATTTAACTGACACAATAAAGTGGGACTTTATATTTTTATGCATGAAAGACGAGCATTGCGAATTCGGTAATTGTCCCAAAGTAGAATAAGGGTATGAGGTGTAAGAACAGGTTTGGTGACCGCGGCACCGGCGGTCGTAACGAGGACACGATGACACACGTCTAACGGTAATTCGATTTTTACACGAGCTGTACGCTGGCTAATGTAATGACCAGAAGGAAAAACTTGTAAACAAAACAAGAACATCGGAAGATTTTGTACAACGTAACTTCCTACTCGCTCAAACGCATGACCTTGCCTTGCGGTATGTATTAGTTCAACATATCGGAATCACGAACTCACGCACGACCCTTGACGAAAATACATGAATGGAAACGCTTGTCATGTTAAAACAACAGGTATCTATAGAATATCTCTATATAAATACGTGAAGCAAAAACTTTGTGCCCCTTTTTACGAAAATTGCGCGGACGGAGGAGTATGCAATCTCCCACACTTATGGAGAATATAGAGGAGTGCAGAATATTGATTTTTTTAAATTATGAATTAAAAGATCATTAAATCAATCAATAGAACCCTTCAATTAATTATAGTCGAATTTCGACTACTGGGGGACTACTAGTTCTAATTAATGTGTCATTTAATACGACCACTGTAAGATATTATGCAAACGATTTAAATGGAGAAACTTAATACAAACTGGTTTCATTCACTTAGAGCTTAATTTACTTTTGATGTTATTTATTTTATTAGTGTCGTATAAAAATGTCAGTAAAAACCATAGGTCACCAGTTAGTTTGTATATACAGTGTGGTGCATTTCACATTGATGTCAACAGGTTGGTGTGTGGCACGTCAGGATTTGTAGACTATAATCTGTCATGTAACAGACTTGTCGATGTTGCAAGAGATTTGGCTGCACAATGACATTATGTATGCGCGCTGTCGAGGGCTTTCAATTGATATAATATTTTCGAAACCGGTCCGCGTTTTCATAACACGTTCCGTATGACACGATCTCAAACCTCTAAACAATCGCAAATTTATAATATAAATATGAATAGCATCCTAAGCTGATGAACTGCATAATATATTCAATAAAACCATATTATCAGTATTCAACGAACGCGAGAACTCTAATATATTCGGAACGTTGGTAATTTAAGTATTTTCAGTTCCGATTTTTTCATTTTCTTTAGAGCATAATTTCCTGTTTTAATTACTATTTCTTCCAATAAATTATTCGAAGTTTGTACATTATTATTAAATCAAACGATTTTTAAAGTCTTCAGCAGTTTAACGTGTTTTCCTTATGTTTTCCGTTTTAATAAACATCCTGGAGGCGGAAGTTTTTACTCAAATCTTCTGCTCGTCTTATTATTAAAATCTCAATTTCAACAATGATGTAGTGTGGCTCATGTTCTAAGGCCAAGAGAAAACAAAGACTCCAATACCTCGTAGATCTATGGAGTTTACCTGCCGTTATGGTAGGTGTTGGATGCCAAAAATTATGTTAGACAGATAAGTTCACAGCTCAGACCGTCCACCTGATTTCAAGTAGTTATGGAGATAGATAGAGCAAAACAAACAAATGTAAATGATAATCTAGCCACGTTAGAATGTTACGTGGAAATTTAAATTTCATTGTAGGTAATTGTGTGTAGAATTTCTATTTGTCTGTCTTACTTGATAACGACTTTATTGTATGGTAATCATTAAAAGAAACTTTACAATTAATTTTAAATGTGACGAAACGAACCACACGACTTGTGTTGTATGATTCGATCCTCATTTCGAATGGGGGCAGGTATTTAAATGTCATTCTGACTTTAGTTACACGCCAATCGTTACATAAGAGTAGGCACGTACGCGTTAAGACCAGTTGTGTAAGGGCAAAGGATAAGGGTGATCCTGAATGATAATTTTAAATGTTTCGATTCAGAATATAGGTACTTTAACTTTCACGTTTTGTAATATCACCGCAAATATCACGTTTAACAAAAGTACTGGATTCTTGATGACCGATCGAAAAATCATATTATGGAACATAATGCGCGAGGCAATTAAGATTACTTTGGTTCATTCTTAGTTAACAAATTTCGTGAAATTATTAGTGATTTGTATGAATTAGTACTCGTAGTTCCCTAGCCTCTGATAGCTAATGTAATATAAATTGATTAACACGGTTTTTAAGCATGGCCAGAGCTCGTGTGGTGTATTTTGGGCGTAATGGCCGCACTGACGTAAACCAATTCAGCTGACGTGGGAAGCATACAGAGATCCTAGAGTTTGTTGATGAAAATATTTATGGTGCATGCTATTAAATACAATGAATCCAGAATTTCAATATCAACTTTCTTTTTTGATACGCTTTTATTAGCTTCAGACATAGGTATGTATGTAACGGAATCTTTGAACATGATTTTGATCCCCTTCAAAACGTCGGATTAACTCGAAATTTGGTATATTTATTAAGGACCGATGATAATTCAATATTAAAAAAATATTGAAATTCAACTAAAAAATGAAAAATTAATAATAGTTTAAAAAACTAACAAAATACGCTTTTATAGAAAATCCAACTAAAAAATAGAAAATAAATTTTAATAAATTTTAATTAAAAATTGTGAAAGAATAAAATATTTTATTGTGAAAAAGCGTGGGGTGCTATTCTATAAAGGCGTATTTTGTTAGTTTTTTTTAAACTATTATTTATTTTTTACATTTGAAACCAAAAGTCTCGAATTGTTTTCATAGACTCTCAACAACGACTTGAAGGTTCCGGGACAATATGTCAATTGCAAAATAAGTAATACAAAAATCTCACGATACATGATTTCTTTCATTAGAGCCGCGATATTGTTTATAATCAACAAAGGTCGTCTGAACGAAAACAAAAAGAACGTAGAGAGTCATTGTGTTTGAACAAAACGTGAGAACCCCAACTTGAAAGTGTGCGTCTGAGTCTGACAGAGCAGGGTAGAAATAGCAACTGTGTACCTATTTAAAAACATGTTGACTGTTATTTAAAAATATATTCAATACATTTTTATAGAGAGCAAACATATGCGGGAACGACTATTTATACGTTAAAAGCAAAAAAGAGCCCTGTTTACAAATCCCGAGTGGCAATTAATTGAAGTGACTCCGCATGCATAATTATGCTTTCTTTTCATTACTACATATATATTATTATAACGGACAATATTTCTGGAACAAATGTAAAATGTAATAACGGTAGAATGTATCGTCGTATACTTTCGACTTTTGTACACGTAGGAATAGGGTTTTTAACACTGTAAATTGAACCACATTAGTACGATTGAAACTGAAACTTCGAGAACACAAATGAAACTTCGAGAACAAATTAACATTTACATTTTTCTTTTGGCCTCTATGTAGATGATAATCTGGTAGCTGCCAAGCTGTCACCGATGTGTCCTACAAAGCAGACAACCTGTGCTGCAAACGTTGAAGCTATTACAAATGAGTTACGAAGGCGCTCTAAGTTTTGCTATTGTGCGAGCATGTTCTAACTATCACTTGGTCAGAAACAATGACTTACCTACCGATTGTTCTAACGGTGACAATACATTACAATAATTCTAATAAGAATTGCAGCATAGAATCTAGGGATAATAAGTTTCACTCGCATAATTTCGTGTTGTCCATACGCGTTTCTGTACAAACCGAAGTACAATGTGTA